TTCTACAATCTCTGATCCCATTTTATGTAACTGAAACATTCAACAGGAGCCCTGTTCATAATGTGGTGGCATCATCACCACGTGTGGCCCTGTACTTCTTGTCACAGTAAGGTCTAAAAAACAAACCAAAAAACCCCTAAAACACAAAAACGAACCAAACAAAAAAACCAAGAGTTTACGCCTTCAAAACATTTAAAATTCAGCTTTATTCACTGCCCTGTGTTCCTGGATAATTTACACACACGCGCACACACACGCACATGTCCGCGCGCGCGCGGCTCTAGCTGCGTCCAGGACGTAGGCCACGCCCCTCCCTGCAGCATTCACAACCCCTTCCTGCAAGCACTGGCCTCTGGGTTCTACCTGAGCTCTATAATATGCACGTTTCCAAAAACTTAATAACTAGGCTAAAAACAATTGCTTTAGGCCCTCAGAATGAGGTGCCCAGGGAAATGTGCTGTTATTCTTTAAATCTCTCAGTGTTACATTTATTTTCATAGGGAAACTTTGTCTAGATTTCAAAGATAAACTCTCCATATATTCAACGTGGGTTATAATTTTTTATCTTAATTAAGATGATCAAATACTGACATTTACTTTGCAAGGAAATAAGAATGAGTGCCTGGTCCCTCCTCTCTCAAAGTCAGGATTCTGCTTCATTTCCCAACCAGGGATCCATCAAGAGTTGATAACGGGGCGCCGGGGCGCCTGGGTGGCTCAGTTGGTTAAGCGACTGCCTTCGGCTCAGGTCATGATCCTGGAGTCCCGGGATCGAGTCCCGCATCGGGCTCCCTGCTCAGCGAGGAGCCTGCTTCTCCTTCTGACCCTACCCCCTCTCATGTACTCTCTCTCTCTCAAATAAATAAATAAAATCTTTAAAAAAAAAAAAAAAAAGAGTTGAAAACGGTCTTCAGTTATCTAGATCCTCATTCTTCCTGTTGGTGAGCTTCCAGGCCCCTTGCCCAAATCCTCCACAGTAGCATCCAGAACAACTCACAGTGATGACCTCACAGGCCATCATCTGAGAACCCAGCGACTCTTGCGTCCCTGCAAGCTCGGGGTGTTCCTGCCCTTCTTCCTTCTGCTTTAGCTCCTGGAACTGCATTCCTAAGTCCTGGCCTGTCTCCACACCTTGCTCAGGCATCCACTGACTCACTTAAAAAGAGTTAACTAAGTACTGATGTCCCAGTCAATAAGCAGACAAATAGAACATGTCTTTGCCTATGATGGGGCTCTGATCTAGTGCACAAGATGATTTCCAAAATGATCACATCCATCTAAAGACTTTCCATAACAGAAAGATGCATAGTGGGCTAGAATACTCTGAGGAAGGAGTCCTGGAGTAGTCAGGGAAGGCTTCTAGGAGGTGGTGACAGCTGAATCTGGTCTTGAAGACCAGGTAAGATAAGAACTTTTGAGAAACAGGGCAGTCACACAAGTTCCACTTTCTCCACCTTCCAAGTGCTTCTTCATCTGTACCCGAGGGAAACTCCTCTAAACCGGCACTGAAAGACAGTATCACCTGGGGAGCAATAATGACCGAGTTCCAATCCTGGCTCCCTCAATTTCAGGTGTGACACTAACACATTGGTTTACCTTCTGAACTTCTTTCCTCAGATCTGTGAAACGCGGATGAAAAAGGCCCTGTAAGGCTGTCATAGGGATTAAACAAGATCATATCTAAGGCACGTGAAGGTTTTAATGCCGTGAAACCATTCTGAACACTAAAGAGAGTCCTGTCACCTCCTTGCTGTGTGTGACCCTGGCCAAGCTTCCAAGTCTTGACTGCTGTACCTGCTGCATCTCCTGGTCCCTCTCCCTATTCCCTGCGACCTTGGCAGCTGCCTGCCTTCTCCAAGCTCCTGCTCCAGGGCCCAGTGCTCGGTGTCTCCCTGTCTGCATGGCTCCAGCTCTCACAGTTACCTGCCCACATGTTACCTGCTCAGAGATACTTTTCTTGACCGCAATTTTATTATTTCTTAAAAAGCTTTATTTATTTAAGTAATCTCTACTCCCAGTGTGGGGCTGGAACTCACAATCCTGAGATCAAGAGCTGCACACTCCACCAACTGGGCCAGCCAGGCTCCCCTTGACCACAGTTTTCAGTAGCCTCCCCCTTGCTGCTCTTGGCGAGATTTTAATCCAGCGTCTCTGGTCTGTCTCTTCCACAGAATGTCAACTCCATAAAGGAAGGGACCTGGCCTTGCTTTCACCATCACACCCCTGCACCCAGAACAGGGCCTGCACAGAGCCAGCACCCAGCATTTGCTGACGGAATTAATGCAAAGTGGAAAATGTCAAACTGGAATAATACCCATCCTGCAGGGCTCGCGAGGGCTTCTATGAGATGGAGCATGACAGAAAAGCACACACTCATGGCCGACATGCCACTGGACTGCAGCCTCATACCGGGAGCCTTAAGAAAGAGAATGGCTCGCTGTGGGGGAAGCAGAATCAGAGTCTGCAGGCCCGGGGCAGCTGGATCTCTCCCTCGGGGGGCCAGTAACACCTTCACATGGTGCAGGTTTCCAGGCCGCTCCGTAAAGAAACAGCCTCAGGGTTTAGAAACAGTACCGGTTTTCGAGGCATCAACGTAACAGTTTCTGAGTTAAGTGTGAGGCAGGCTCCTGGTGGGCCGGATGTTACGTTCTACAGTCTTTGTGGAAGACCGAAGGACGCCATACCTGCTCGCCCAACTCACCGAAGTGAGCAAGCACTGGTGTGACTAGGGTACACCGAACTCTGGAGCCCCTGGTGCTGTCGCTAAAGATCCCCTGAACACGGAGTGCTCTCCTTCGCCGGCAGCTGTAGGTGACCATGGTGACTACCACTAAGAGACAGTGTCACCATCAGAACGGGAAGACTGTGACACGTGACAATGACAACAACGTCCCGGCCAACGGGACAGCTCAAGCAAGCTGAATGCCCGCCGTGAGAAGGTGGGTGGGGGAGCACAGGCCCCTGCTCTCTGAGGCTGGAAAACAATGTGTGTGTGGGGGGGGGGGGGGGGAGGGAGGCCTCTGAGGGCTGAGCTAAGGAACCCAAACTTTGTCTAACTGTAAATTATAACTGAAAGTCTCTGACCAGAGAGCTGCCTATTTAAATTATGTACGTATGATGGCAATTCAATTAATTAACATGGAGAAGGGACTGAGGGTCAGACCTGTGGCTATGGGACAGCTAGGGAGAACAGTGAAGGCAGGACGGGAAAGGATGGGTGGCAGGGGGAGGTAAAACCCCGATGTTCAAGGATGATCAGGTGCTGAAAACTCTGAGGTTCAAAGCCTGAAGCAGTGAGGACACTGATGAAAGGGGGTCAGGAAAACAGGAGAAGGAACAAGACGCGAAGGGTCTCTGAGGACCTCATCTGAGCTGCAGAGTCCTGATGCACCTAACAGGGCACCTCTGCTCTCTCTTCAGCGTAGGGCTGGGGCGCGCCCTGGCCCGCACGGGGGTGCTCCCCGGGGCTCGCTCGTGCAGCTGCTTGCGGCCCGCAGGACGATGGAGAAGAGCTCAGAGAGTGGTGGACAGCTGGCCCCGGTCTCACCCGTTCTACACGGCACGCTGCAGGTCATCCCGGGGCGCCCGGCCGTCCTCTCCTCTGGACCCAGGCCTGCTCATGGACAGAATCCTTCGCCTCACTCACCACTTCAGCACAGGGTGGCTTTTGTCTCTCCAACTAGATCACAAACTCCCTGAGGGCCTGGTTTACGTCGGCCCCATCTCCTGCGCCCAAAAAGCCCTAACGAGGGGCAGGCCCAACGCGCGCCAGCCGAGTGCCCCCTCGTGCCCTAGCACCACCACTGGGTTAGGAGAGCACAGGGGGGAAGGCAGCATGCCAGCACGACAGACTACTCTTTTAGAGCATGCTGGCAACCCCGCAGCCTACCAGGCATCTGACCCCGGCCAAGGGCCCAAGCTCGAGTACTCAGAACGCCCTCCAGCTCGTCAGGGAGGGACTGCAGTGCTCTGACGCATCCCGCAGCTCATCACCAGAGTCCCTTTGCCAAGTGTACAAAGGTGGGCACGAACACTTCCTGAGAGAAGGCTTGTGGGGTGTTTGTGTACGATAAAAAATAAGCAGGTGCATTTATATGCTGGAACACTAGGAAAGAATATAGTCATCGACTAGGCAAAAGCACGAAACTAAATTTCAGGAAAAATTAACTCAAGGGAAATCAAGCAAATGGGGATTAGGTTTCTTCTGAGTCAGATTATCAGACTCTGGAGTTATTAGGAAACATAGCACAGAGCTCAGACCGGACTGCAGACATGCGTGTATGCATGTATGTGCATGTACATGCACGCATGCATGTCCGTGTGTGGTGTTCACGTGTGCACACACATGCATGTCTGTGTGTACGTATAAAAGACACCAAACTTGGGTCCACAGAAGATGCTTCCTGTTCCTGCTTTCCTCTATTTCCCACATTTTTCAATGGGGGGAAAAGGCACATATTTTTTGAAAACATACCAAGGAAAGCACACCATACTCATGACACCAGCAAAAAAATAGTTAACATACTGTTTGTGCCAGTATCTTAACTATGTCTCTTAAAAAAACAATATTCAAACACCACTTGATGTTAATTGTGAAAGACAGAAACCACTGAAAAACATTTCGCATTTCCTGAACTCAAAACAATAAATACACAAAGTGTATACTGTTACATTCTAAGTTGCAAAGATTAATTATAATGGCAAGTTCAAAAGTAAAAATGTTCACTCTAAGTATGGTCAACATGACATTACAACTGAAAAATAACTTGCAAGTCTATACAGTCTTGTATTACATATACACATCTCTAAAGAAAATCTTGAGCCATATTCAAACCTACTTAATGATGTTAAGATTATGGAGCTTTGGGTGGTCAGACAGCTTAGCTTTCTAAGCTATTCTAGAAAGAGCAATCACAATAAAGAGTCTGCTCCTTCTATAGCACCTGAACGTTTCTGCTTGGCAGCTTGCTATCTGGGGCTTTCTGGGTGGAGCCTCTCACCTGACACGGAGACCGCGTGTGTCCGCATGCCTTGCTTCTCGCTGTTGGCCAGCCTGGAACAGAGAGGAGCAGAGCCGTGAGCGCCGTGCCGACAAACACGGAGTGCCTACAGTCAGGACCATGCCATTTCCCATGGAGACCATGCACTTTCGAGGGTGATTTTTAAAAGATTAAGCACTACTAACTGAGGCACTTAAAATAACAAGACTGCTCTACTGTTTTAGAAACGACAGGCAACTGGAGGAACACCGAGATGCTCTGAGAGAGCCGCTCGTGACAGCAGCTTCAGCCCTACATCACCACTCAGCAGCCGGTGGGTATGTGGGTCAGATCAAATTTTACACTGCAATGCTAGACTGCAAGGGGTCGCCCCACATTTATAAAATACAGGGAAAAGACACCTGGAGTTGAAATTGCACTCTAAACCATAATTTGAAAAACACCCAGGAGTATGCCTGGTCCTCCTTAAATTCAGAGCATGTAAAAAAGCAGGCAAGGCCTTAATACCTATTTTTATTATTTACAGACTAAGCCTAATGTATCTGGTTACTTGTTTCATAAAATTGCCCAACAACAGGTGTGTTTGATGTATCTACCCACATAAAATAAAATTTTGGCCAAAAATCTCAGCGACATTTAAAAAACAGAAGCATAGTTCAGTTTTAAATTTTCGGAAAGCACAAAACAAGAAAGAAAAGGAATCCCAGATTCTTTAGATGCCAGAGTGACTTTGACGTTTTTATAAAAGAAAACTTTTTCCAGATACATAAGCATGTACTATAGAAGTGCTGAACAGAAAATGGTTCTAGCACACAGAATTTACACCGGGAAATACGGGACCTGGAGAGTAGATCCCTCTCGAGAATGGGGAAGATTCAGTATGCAGCTGTGGGGCCGCTACGATCAGTGATCTCAGCATAAAGCCATGGGACCGAGTTGCTTTTACTGAGTTCTCTACGTATCCCAGATCTAATGAGCTTTAGGGCTGAGCCAGAGTTGCCGTGTGACAAATCACCGGTTCCTCGTCTACTGTGGCTACGGGACTCCCGGCAGCTGTCTGAACCACGCGCGCAGGGAAGTCGGGGTGCGCGCTCCCGACGGCAGGTCAGGCCGTGTGCTTCCAGGCCCTGCTGCCCGCGCGGCGGGCTCGTCCTCTCCCACGCCGAGTCTCCGGGGGCTGCTACAAATCCGCCTGCTCACCGCCACGCGGAGTTCACCACTCTCCAACCAAGAGCCGCCATGGCGTCTGCTGCTCTGTGATTTGTGGCAAATGGCGCTCTTTTAAAGTTTCCTTTTTAATTCACTGTTTCTAGCATCTGTTACCACTTCTACCTACTCCCGTCTTCATCCACTTTTGTATCTATGTTTACGATTCTGCATATTTTAATCCTCAAAGTCATCTCTTACAGATTTTCTACAGTTAAAGATATTCTGGGCATAGTTTCCTGGCCTAATGTGAGACATTAATAAATATCTATTAAACATTATTGAGTTTGTGAAACACAGTGCCCGAAAGCTGAAAGCAAGCTGCTTTGACCCATGCCTCCACACCCCGCACAGCTATGGTGCACCTCCCACACACCAGCTACTCCCCGGGTCAGGTCTATGACGTCACATGACCCTGGCCGTCCATGAGGTCCTGCGGGCATGCGTGAGCAAAGAGGTAGTTTTGAAAGTGTGATAAGTCCTCCAGCAAGGAAGAAGGTGTTCTGGGGAAGCACACGAGGGTGCTCTCCAGGGCTGGCTGGGTGATCGTGGGAGGTTTCCAGAGCCAGAAAGATGAACAGGGCCTAGGTGAAGTTACAGAGGCTGGAGGATGAGTGGGGCATGTGAGTGAAGAGCATTTACAATGACCTGGAGGTAAAGAAAGGACCATTTACTCCAGTAACTAAAGGAAGTTCAACAGAGCTGAAGAAGAGCGTGAGTGGTGGTGAAGCAAGCCTAGAGGGGCCGGCAGGGGCCAGTGGTCGGGGTCTGGCCTGCTGGCCCAAGGATGCTGGCCTTTATCCACAGAGTAACAGCAACACCTGCAGGTGTCGTGAGACTCTGTTCCACCCCAGAGCACTCAGCACTCGGCTCTGATGCTTACTTACCGACGTGTCCATATCTCCCAATTTTAACTCCTCTGGTCCCCAGTCCCTCACATGTTGGCTGACCCCAGAGAAGTTACTAAGTAAGTTCTTCTGGCATCACTGCTCAATTCTTTTTAATCTTACAGATCAACACATCTACTATGAAATTCATGACATCAACAACTTAAAAAATGAACACAAATTACTTATGTTTACTTTTCTCACTTGTAAAACGGCCAGAATGGCACCAATTCTCAGGTTCTTAAAAGGCGAGTGCTGAGTATAAACCATCAACAGGCCTTCCCGGTGCTGTGACCGGGATGGTCCTCCAGCTGCCCGATCAACTTAAGATAAGGGGAAAGTCATTTTACACTTTTGGTTAAAGCTAAATACATAACACAATTTACAACTCATTTGACTTCTTTCTGGAAATACTTGTTTTCTCCCTCCCTAGTTGTATCCACAGAAGTTTGACGATTCAGGCAAATGGAAAATAAAGCATGGTGATTGCTTGACAGTTTCTAACAAAAATAAGTAACAAAATGCACAAGGCAGCACTTACTTTGGTATTGATGGCAACGCCCGTTCACCTTCTGGAGAAAGAGAGAGAGAGAGAGATGAGGTCCCTATTTCTTTAGAAAAGATTATGTGTAGCAATCAGAGAACAAGGGTAAGTCTTAGTCCAGAATTTAGCAATAACCCTTTAATAAGGAAGTTATTACACTGTGCATCTTAGGCTTTCATGGTTCATTTTCAATATTTACAACACCCAATAAACCGACTGGAGGTGCATATTGTGTACGAGGGACTGTCTAATCAGAGCAAAGCCCTGAGGGGATAAGTGGGTGAAAGACATCCCTACACCAGAGGACTGGCCATTTTGTCCTCTGATAAAAATGCTCAGTAGAAGCAACACCAAAACCCGTCTAGGAAACACAAATACAAGGAAAACAAATCCTCGGGATGTGCAGAGGCAGAGGGACTGATGCACCAGAGCAGCCCAGGAAGCAAGCAGGCCTTGACCAAGGGGTCACCTGCCACCCATGACAGGGATGCGCTCGGGGCTCCCGGCAACGGCCCTTGCTGTTCCCATCACAGCGAAGCGCAGGGCTCCATTTGGTGGTTGGCGGATACGCTCTCTCCCCACCCTCCTTCCGTGAAGCAGGAAGCACAGAGCTCCCAGGTCAATGTCTTCTATCTGTTTAAATCTAACAGGCACCTAACTAATCCTCTCTTCTAATCCATCCCTGGGCTAAGTTACTACGAGGATCATGTTCCGCCCAGTACAAACTCATCAAGTCATTCCCTTGTTTTAAATTCCAGTGTCTCTCATTGGCTTTTTTTTTTTTAAGATTTTATTTATTTTTTTAAAAGATTTTGTTTAGGATTTTGTTTACTTATTTGACAGAGAGAGACACAGAGAGAGAGGGAACACAAGCAGGGAGAGTGGGAGAGGGAGAAGCAGGCTTCCTGCTGAGCAGGGAGCCTGATGTGGGGCTCGATCCCAGGACCCTCGGATCATGACCTGAGCCGAAGGCAGACACTTAACCAACTGAGCCACCCAGGTGCCCCAAGATTTTATTGTTAAGTAATGTCTACACTCAACGTGGGACTTGAATTCACAATCCTGAGATTAAGAGTCGCATGCTCTACTGACTTGAGCCAGACAGGCACCCCTTTCGATGGCTTTTAAGATGAAATTTAAGCACATCTGCTCAACCCACAAAGCACTGTTTCATTTCTGCGGGCACACAACACTGCCCTATCTCCATCTTTGGGGTGTCTGCCCACCTACCACCCATCTATCTGACGCCTTCCCAGGTAGTCCATTAGTGTCACCCAGTGCAGTCACAATTGCTGTCTACAGTTCTGCTCCTTGCACTTGCCCTAGAACTTAGCCCCAAGAGCTCTTCGCCCCCAGAAGTTACCTTTGTCCCATCTCACCAGTCTCGCTCCCTACTGCTCCCTGGTCTTAGGTGACTGCATATCATAGTTCCCTGAACACATCATGCTGCCTTCACACATTCCGACCCTTGAAAGGTGCCCTTCCCTCTGGTAGAAAGACCATTCCTCAATTTCTCAAAGCTCAATTCGGTGGGGGATGGATTGGATGGGGGATGGGTATTAAGGAGGGCACTTGTTATGATGAGCACTGGGTGTTGTATGAAAGTGACGAATCACTAATTCTACTCCAGAAACCAATATTGCACTGCTTGTGAACTAACTAGAATTTAAAAATAAATAAATGAATGAACGAATGATATAATATTCTAAAAAAACAAAACCTCCATCCAAGCACAATTTGAGCTCCAGGGAGCCCTTCCTACAGCAACTCAGGTGGCTCTGGGTGGTGCTGCTGTGCTCTGCCTCGTTCCAGGGCACTTCTATATGTGAGCGCACTCGAAGGTCGGACTCAACCTGCACACAGGTGTCTCTCACACCCAGCAGGGCACCCTGCGCTCACAAGGTTCTCAGACCACTGCTTGGTAAATGAAGAACTGAATCAGCCTCGGATCCCACGTGAGTGACTCTGCACAACTATTTATCTGTGAAACAGAAATTGGACCGTCTGGTTTGCAGGGACAGGTGAGGCCTGCGCAGCGGCGCAGAACGCAGACGACCAGCACGTGACCCCCGATGCGCTGCTGCAGTACCACCCAAACTGCCTCACTCTGACTTTCCGACATCCACATTTCAAGCAAAATACCCAAGTGCCACCAGGAAGGCCAAACGCGGAGTTACTAGAAAATCCTATCATTAGTTGACCACCCACGAAGGCTCCGACCAGGTCTTGTCCACACCCACCACTGTCAGTTAATAACGGCCGCTAGCCGTCTGCACCCTTTGTTGCAAAGTCTACTTCCCTGGGAGAAAAAGAGCCCAGCTCATAAACATTTGGTTAATAGAGACTTCCTAAGCAGCCGGGCAGGAGCAGAGAGAAGGCTGTAAATGAGCTGATTAACAACAAAGGATCTCGAGAGTACATTTTCAGGAAGCAAGACCGTAAATCACTGAGTAAAATGGCCACACATACTAGTAGCAGCACGGTTATAAAAACGCAGTACTCACCGACTAAAACGCCCAGTTCTAGGTGTCAGTTTTTAACATTCCTTTAAATTTATAAGCTGAAGGCCTAACATACGACTTCTCGTGTCATTCCCACGGCAGATAGCTTATTTCCCGGAATAAATCCTTTAGGATTAAGGATGTATCTTTATATTAACCTACATTTGACTTTTGAATTTTTGAATAAAAGTTCTTACCTGTTTTTTAAATTGAACAATGCAGATTCCTTGTAACAAATCTAAATCATAAAGGTGCATATTATAGAATGGAAGTGGGAAGGCCGAAGCCTCGTCCCCTGCTTCAATCACATCTCCACCTCCCCGGGAGTACTCCCTGTCCACAGCTGGTCACTTAGCTGCCCAGATTTCCAGGCTCCTCTTAAACTTGTGAATACACACACACAGGCGTGGCTACATATATGTGTGTGTGCGTAGGTGTGGGCTTTTAGCACGAAAATAGCACCGCCTCCTGTTTCTCAGAGCTGTGGAGTACTCTACGAGGGGTGCATGCTCCCTCACTTAGGGATTGCTTCCCATTGTGTGGACATTTAGGCTGTGTCTGGTTTTGAGCTGCTACACACACTGCAGAGTGAACACCCGGGGTCCATCGGATTCTGCAGGAGGACCTCTAGGAGGTGGACAATGGGCAGGCGCCATTGCTACACTGGCCTCCAACGACTTATGCAGACACCAGCAAAATGGGAGAGCACATCTTCCAAGGATGGAATGGAAGATCCGTCGCTTCACCCAACCTAAACCAGAAAACGCGATCTGTCGCTGCTGGTGTCCAATGCCTATTGCACATCTCCATGTCCACTCTTCTACAAGGAGCCTATTTTCATACTGGCTTGTCTTAATGAGCTGGAAGAACACGCGAGAAAGAAGAGATTTTAATTTTTTGTTGTCTGTGTCACAGATGTCTGCCCTCCTGTATCTCAGCTTTAAAAAAATGTTTCTTGGGGCACCTGGGTGGCTCAGTTGGTTGGGCGACTGCCTTCGGCTCAGGTCATGATCCTGGAGTCCCAGGATCGAGTCCCGCATCGGGCTCCCTGCTCGGCAGGGAGTCTGCTTCTCCCTCTGACCCTCCCCACTCTCATGTGCTCTCTCTCATTCTCTCTCTCTCAAATAAATAAATAAAATCTTAAAAAAAAAAAAAAACAATGTTTCTTTTACTAACAGGAGTGTTTTCATGTTTACAAAACCAACTCTTTCAATTCTGTTCTTCTTACACCCTGGGTCGTGACCTCTTAGAAGCATACCTCCCCTCCCTCCCAGGTACAGGCTTATTATCATCCCGCACACAGGAAATCTTCTGAGGAATGAGGAAATTATGACCCTATGTTAATGTGCATAATTCTTTCCTCTGAGGAGAATTTTACTAAAATTGAAAAACTGCCACTGAGCTCTCCTGTGGCTAAGGTACAGGTCAGCTAACCCCACAGTAAGGGTCAAGGTCGTTCAGCAACTCTGATGGAACTCAGTCCAGGGTATCTGGCTTGGGGCTCTAATTACATTTTCCACCCCAGTAAACACCACCTTTAAAAGCACTTTATAAGTGCAAAGTAATTGTGGTAGATCACAGAAGTAATCAAGTGCGTCTGAGCATACTCACAACTCACAGGTAGAACTTACAGATCACTTAGAACTGGTGTCCCTGTTATGCGTATAAACACGTACCTGTTGCTTACCATTAAACACTTTACAGTCTAGAGAAGACATATGGGTACATATATAAGTGTTATTAAAAGCACACTGCCAGGAAAATGGTGCACTGGAGTGTAGAAACATGTTTTAAATTTATTAGAAATTAAAAAAAAAAACCTAAGAGCTCATTTGCTCTTGTCCACATATATTTCTGACCATAATCCATTAAAAATGTTTGATTTAAAGTATTATTTCCATTAGGCAGTATACCTTCACGTTAGGTATCTATTACAAAATAGTTGTATAATAAATGAACATGCTGGGATTGAGAATAAAGTAAGTACATTATCGAGTCTAGTGTCTCATTCTGTAAAGACAACATAAAATTGCTAAGAGCCAGCGCCCTACTAGGATTTTATGAGAAGCGTTTTCACTTGTGCTCTTGTCATATGCATGAAGAACTTAATGCATCTCAGTTCACAAGATGTGATATCAAAATGTTTATCCCTAAGGAGAAAAAAAAAGCCAATTAAAAACCAACACAGGAAGGTGTTGAAGTTTCAAACATGGAATGGCTGGCTTATTTAATGCTTAATGTCTGAATGTTATTTTTTTGTGTGCATAAACTGATAAAGAACATTTGGTAAATTAGGATAAAAATTTTTAAATTATTTACTAAAAAGGAGACAGGCAATATGTCACATTGAACACTTTTGCAAAATACCGTCTTCATGGAATGGAATTTCCCTAAAACATTTAAATAATATTTGCAAGGTACATACCCCTGCTTAAAACACAAAATGAAAAATCAAGAGTTTATGTCTGTACAAGTTTTAACTGAGAGTAGCCTTTAGACCTTTCTAAAAGCAACTTCATTACTATATTTCATACAAAGAAAGCTACTATAAATCTAAATATATTTTAGAAAATAATAGGTTTTACTGGTGTGATCATAAAGATTTTTACTAGATTAGGCGTATCCTAGGATCCACACACTTTAGCTATTGTTTTCAGAGCACATCATGACACTAACTTTTAAACAAAGGTCCCAATGATTCCCTGCCTCACACCGCCCCCCCACCCCCGACTGCTCCCTCCAGCCGCTCTGTGAACACAGGGTACGGGGCTGCTGGTGGGCCGGGCTTTCTGCTGCGTCTCTACCAGGAGTTCAGGACTCCATCATCTGTTTTCCTAGCTCCTCTCCACGCCGCGTACCTGGACACACAGCACTCGGCCCCTCAGGACCACTTTCCTGTGATGGTCCCGGTCCCGGAGGGGAGTGCTACAGGGGATCCCGTGTCTACCGGCCACAGAGCTGGCTGCTTTGTGGGCACCACTGTGGACCCACCTCCCACGCCATAAAGCAGGCGTCGTTCTTTACGGATGAGGATGGTCAGAGTCCAGGTTCACACAGTAGGTCAGGATCGCCCTGCAGCCAGCAGCAGCCACGGGAACAATGCTAACATTTATGGCCACTGCATGTGCCAGACACAGTTCCAAGCCTTTCACACAGATGAAGTCATTTATCCTCCCTAAACCATAAAAGACAGGTACCACTCTGTGTGTGTCAGAGCTAGAGAACCAGGCACAGAAAGGTCAAGCAATTTACAGATGGCAGCTCAGAGGACTTGCCATTTGAACATACAAAAGGATACATTTCTAGAGCCCAGATTTTTCCTGCTACCACTATGCTATTTTCCTGCTGGGAACGTTCTGTTTGATTATTTCAGAATTCCAAATCTTCTGAAACAACCCTTCTTACTGCCTTGCAAGAACCCCACATGGCTTCCAAAGTGATACAGCCTTGTTTCTAACAATTACTCATTCTAATCACTGATTTTACATCATGCCTTAGAACTAATTTTGTTCTTTGCTCTAAGCTTTTGAGATCTATAAGAAAAAACAGTTTATTTGACATGAGTTACAAAGTATACCTGAAAAAAAATCCAGAACATAATCCCAAAAGTTTACTACAAACACTGACAGCCCCCTAGAAAGCACCTAGAAAGTGTTGCCCGAACCCAGTAGCCTGAACACCAACACTGTTTCCCCGAAGCTCTTCTATTCAAACCCGGCTCACAGGCTGCACGTTGCCCCACTTCCCCGGAAAACCAAGAACACAGACGTACTTGGCTGAATTACTTATTTGGTCTTCAGAGTCGTGTAAAAGAAGAAGTGGAGGCAGTTGGGATGAGCTCGCCTAACAGCTCCCAGTGGGACTGCTCAAGCAGAAGCAGGACCTCACCTTTCTGGGGTCTGATGATAAAAGACTGTGTGGCCCCGTTCACCAGCCGGCAGTACCCATCTATCAAGTCAGCCATATTCTCGGCGATGGTTAGGGATGGCGCTGTCACTGTCAGAGGCTAAAAGGGGAAAAGACCGAGAGAGGCGTTATTGTTCTTTGTATCATCAAAGGGGCAGCTGTACTATGACATCAGATCTCTAGGTACACTTGGAAACAGAAGAGTGACAGCGACACAGATTTGTCATAAGGTTGGCGTGGAAAAGGAAGTTGATATTTAAGGAGGTTATTCCTAGAATATGTGACAGAAGGCGACCCAGACAAAAACAGAAAAATCACTTAAACTGAGATTCATTTTCTAGAACTAAAGGAGGCAAAAAAAAAATATTTCCCTTCAGAGTTGTCTGGCCCCTCTGGAACATCTAATTAAGGGAAGAATTTAAAGAATCAGTATATTTCAAGTATGGCCTATTTTAGAAACAAACATGGAGTAAATTTTTATCAATTATCCCTCGTAATTTTTCTAGCATTAAAGAAAATTACTAAAATCTCATTATTTTAAGCATGCACAGCACGTTTTGCCTAAGAGGTTAGAATTCACTGTTTTCACTATCAAACCTGCAATTTTGATAAACTTCCTAAAGATTTATCATTAAAGATTACCCGGGAGATGATCAGAGCTGTATTTTCCTTCCCGGCACAGGGACGCCCTAACCAGAGCGGTATTTCTCACGTCCTCGCCCACGAACAATACACCTTCCCTGAGCTCCGTGACACGTTCGGGGCCGGGGGGGGGGCGGGGGGGGGGCAGTTCTGACAATGGTGGTGCCGAAAGAGAATGTTACAGAGGTGCTGTTGGGAAATTTTAATTGGCAATAGTTTCCATATTTTAGGGTTTCATTTATTCACCTCTGAGAATCAAATGCACTTCTGAGAGCCTCAGAAATGCCCCTGCTCCCAAGGCAGAAAGAACAAGTGAGGAGCGTGGCAGATAAACCCGTCTGAGAAAAGGCTTCCACCACCAGAGAGCCCCGTGCGCTGCATGTAACAGACAGAGGTCCGAAAACGTGCTGTGTGCGACAAGCCCAGTCGTTGTGACTCCACATGTGAGCGTCCTCTGCCCGTCTGTCCGAGAAGGTCACCGGATGCGGTATTTGCCAAATGGTGCGCTGTCCTGACTGGGCCACACTGCATGCAGATTAAAAGCGTGGGCTCTGGGAGGCACCCCATCTCCACCACTTGTGCTCGGCTTCCTCAGCTGTACAATGGGTTCAGAGCATCTCAAAGAACTCCTTTTGCTGGGTTCTGAGAATGACCCGTGTGGCTCCTGGTCCCCGTGCTAAGCGTCAGAGTAGCAGGTGACCCACCCAGCAGGAGCTGTGGCAGCAGGGCTGCTAGCAGGTGACCGGTCCCGAGACCACCACGCACAGCAGTCTGGGAAATGACACTGCTTACTGAAGGTACCCGTGCATTTACATAATCCTAAGAAGCAGACGTTCGTGCTAGTTCACGAGAATCTTCAACCGGCTTGACAATAATGCTCCTGACCGACTTTTCCATCTGTCACCTGCTCTACTCTTGGGGGCATGTACTCATTACTACCTGAAATGGAACACTCACCACGTAAGAGAAAGCTGGGATTCTGACGACCCACAAAAACTGCATCCTTACCTCGGGGGCACCGGCAATTTTCAGCTGTAGCATCCCTTTCCGGTCCTTGTCTTCGCTGTTCGAATACTGAATGGTCTGCACTTGATTGAAGTCGGCCAGATGTGTGGGCTTGGGAGAGAAAAGGCAACCACTTGGGACCCCAGACAGACTCCTGTCAGGTACTGCGTGACTTTCTTGCAGTGCCCACCCCATCCCACTCTCCCGAGGACCTCCTCCCGATGCCTGCATCTGGGGGAGAGGCTGCTCATCCATCAGCCCCCAGTGGGGTATTCTCTTCCTTAGGAGCAGTCCTGGAACCACCAGGAACTGTCTGCTCACTCCCAGGTGAGGAATATGCCTGTTCTGTGTGTTCCTAATGGCCAAGCAGGAGCGCTCCACCTGTCAGAGGTGGACGGGTGGGTCACAGGTCCCAGAGAAGGAAGGAAATAGAAGAAAGTCCCAGATTTGACTCACTCACTGGCCTTGGGAGTAACTGCGTGTGAAACCTGCTCCCGTTCCCACAGAGAGAGGGACCTGTGTGCACTCCCAGTGCATCCTGAATTAGAGCAAGTCTCTGAGTTTAACAACGCTAGGGAGTTGGCAGGTGTCCAAAGGACCCTTCTCAGGAAGACGTGCCAAGAGACTTCATTTCTCCAACTAGAATCAACTCTTTTCTTCTTATGAAGACAAAAAAAAAAAAAAAAATACCCATTTGTCCCTTATCCTTCTAGCATTTCATGACAATGATCACTTTGCTGTGATGATTCCTACACATTTATTCACAACAATTACCTTGATTTCAGCCTCTTACAACGTCATGAGGATTGGCCTCTCCCACCAAGTACTCCACTCAGCCCAGATTCTGCCACCGGGACTGAGGTGGAATTATGGTTCAGAAAGTGACTCATAGTGGCTCCTGGGTGGCTCAATCAGTGAAGCGTCTGCCTTCAGCTCAGGTCATGATCCCAGGGTCCTGGGATCGAGCCCCGTGTCAGGCTCCCTGCTTGGTGGGGAGTTTGCTTCTCCCTCTGTTCTCCCCCCACCTTGTGCGTGTGCACTCTCTCTCTCTCAAATAAATAAATAAAATCTTTATTAATTTTTTAAAAGACTTTATTTATTTGTCAGAGAGAGAGCGCGCACAAGCAGGGGGAGGGGCAGAGGGAGAAGCAGGCTCCCCGCAGAGCAGGGAGCCTGACGTGGGACTCGATCCCAGGACTCTGGGATCATGACCTGAGCTGAAGGCAAACGCTTAACCAACTGAGCCACCCAGGCGCCCCAATAAATAAAATCTTAAAAAAAAAAAAAGCTTCCCTTCACATCAGAACACCTTCACAGCTTTGCTTTCAGGCACAGGTGTGTCCATGAGGCCTTCAGACAGGAGCCCAGGGGCAGCCCTCCGCTTTCCCATTCTAAGACGTCCAAACAACAGGGAGCACGGCCCCTGTGCCCACTCCCCTCTCTCCGCCTCTGTGCCACCTGCCCTCACGGGGTTCGCTCCTACCTCACTGTCTTCCACAGTTCCTTTGGCTTCTCCTCTGCTCCATCTCTAAATGATCACGGGCCACAGGACTCTGTGCTGGGCCCATCCTTCCCCTGAGCTGTGGCAGCCCAGCCAATACCACCCAGCCCCGTGGTGCAAGTACGTCTCCAGTCCTGAACTGGGACACGTATCCAGCCACCTACATGACACCCCCACACGGACGTCGGGGACAGACCGTGAACAGCACAGTCACGGGATCCGCTCTTAACACCTGCTCCTCCTCCAGGCCTCCCCAGTGCAGCAACAAGCAGCACCAGTCAACCCTGTTCCTGAGCCGAAAAACGGAGGCATTATCACCAGCTCCTCTCTTTCCTCCCCCACAGCCAGCCCCCCTCCGCACCCGGAGTCTGTGCATTTTCCTTCCACCTTCCCAGCTGCCACTCTGGTGCAATCACCGTTGGTATCCTGCTCAGAGCATCAGCCCTGCAGCCGTTTCCCTCGTTGTGCGCCTGTCCCCGCCCCCCACAGACCACCCTACCCGGAAGCCCGGGAGGTACTTCACAGTGTAAGTCAGGTCTGACAAGCCCCTGCTTCAACACGTACGATGCCAGCAAAGGGAGGCAAACAACCCCCTGGTCCGCCCTCTGCCTGCCTCTTAGACCTAACTTCTCATCATGAGCTCATCTTGATCAGATGCACTCTAGTTTTACCGGGGCAGAATCATGCCCCCAGAGGGTTGTTTTTGGTTGGCTGAAGAATGAGGGATATAAATGGGACCAGGGCCGAGACGTGGTAGAAAGCACAGGAAGTTCCCTCACAGCGAAAACTGTCCTATGTCCTGAATGGCTTTCAAGTGTCCTGATGTGTATTCATGTTGGTGAAAAATCTGATTCTAGAACCCAAGTCTTTTTTAAAACACAAAGTATGCTCTACACTGAATTTTCCAGCAATACAACTTATGTGTAATTTAGGGAATACTGACTTTGCTATCTTTGGAATGTTATGATGAGTTGCTCACCATTTTGGAAAATGACATCATGGAGGGCAATGCTTGTTGGTATTTGAGCTGCTGACCCCATGCACACACATCTGTAACAGAGGAGATGAGGCTCCTTCTAACAGACCAGGAATCAAATGTTATTAAGCTGGTGACGCATGAAATAGGGAACATCTCAACTAGTCTCGCTAAATGATTATATTAAAATATTCCTATTATTGCCATCTTATAACAAAAATATTTTTTTCCAAAGAACAATGGAAATTTAAGTCATGGAAATCATTATATTCCTTTTTTTGTTTTTTTAAACCTACTGTGTTTCTGCCTCATTTTGACATGCCCCCCGAGGTCAGTCACGTAACTTCCCCTTGTCACTTTCCTATACTACTTGTAAGGGGGCACTTCTGGTGGCCCTCTCTCAGATGAACACGCTCAGTACTCAGCTCTGACTCTTCTGTAACACTTGCCCATCTCTGTGCTGTGTACTGACATACTGAAATAGACTTTTTGGAATTATATGTGCACAGCATATTCTGTGATTTTATTTCAAGTTAGCAAAAGACTCTTAAAAATATCTGTTATAAAGAAGACAGGGCTGGGAGGGGCCCACACCGACCACCACTCTAAATTGGACACCAGACACTCTCATACTACCCTACTGTAGCCCTCTCTCATGATTGGATTATTTCTGCTGCTTATCATCTTTCTTACATTCGCTCTCACAAACAGACTAAAAGCACCATGAGGGTGATCTAGTGGTGGACGCCCATCCTGTCTACCACTTATTGCAAGAAGGAGGGCCGTGCCTGGTATGTGAGGGAGTGAATGAATGACTCTGAGAACTTATGAGGTGCTGGGCTCTGTTCTAAGTACCAGGAATCCAGCAGTGAACAAGGATGACGTGAATCCAGACATAAACAATCACACAAGGAAGCACGTAATTACAACTGTGATAAAGACCGCAACAAAGCAACTGAGGGTACTGTCTAAAACTACCTCCACTTTGTTTGGGGAGGGGCAGGAGGAAATGGTGAGGCCTCACTCAGAACAAGTCTCCCTGAGAACGAGAGTGGGCCCCGGGCCCCATGAAGCCAGGACCACGTGGATTTCACCCGGCGCTGGGCCCTGGCTTCCAGCTCACTGCCCAGCACCAAGCATCTGCACACACACATGCAGACTGGCCCATGCAGCACTCCAGACAAGGCACAAAAGTAGGCCTTATGGGCCCCAAGAGAGGGCAAGTGTGTGCAGAGGAGCCTGCAGAGCTGGGCTGTCTACGGTAGCGGGAAGCCGCGAGTGGCTATCGAGCAGCTGGTGGTTCGCGGCTAGTCCAAACTAAGGGGCGATGAAAATGCAGAATCCATGCCGATTCCAAAGACTCACTATGATAAAAAGAATACAAAATATCTCCGTAACTTTTATATGCATGATACCTTGAAGTGATGGTATCTTGGATATACTGGGATACATAAGGTATATTATTAAAATTCATTTTCACCTTTTAAAATGTGGTTACTAGAACACTGCAAAGTCCATAGGCAGCTTGCATCACTTGTATTGAGCAACACTGGAGAATAAGGTGACCTAGGAGTCAGGTGAAGTAGCTAAGGACTCAGAAGTACTGAGAGGGCTCCGCTGCATGAGGGTCACTGTCCCCCAGGCGGAGGCTGGGCAGGTGCTGGGGTGCCGGCGGGGGCTGAAGACAGAATGGGAGGAAGCCAGGCGGCACACTCAGAGCAGCTCGGCTTGGGGCAGCCACGCGCCACCAGGCTCTCAACGGCCACGTGCCAAGAACTTTTGCAATAAAGCAAAGAGGAAACGTGGGCTTGCTCCCTGGCGGGGACAGGGAAAGGGATATGGGTTTGAGGGAGGACGTTTTTAGGATGAGAGAGATTACACATTTTTCTATGCTAATAGGAATGGCCCAGTAGATTGGAAGCATTTACTGGTGCTGGAAAGAGAGCAGAAGAGACGGGGGGCCGCTACACAGCCAGGGACGGTCTTACCAGAAGCATGATATTCACCCACAGAAGGCACGGGACGGGAGGGTGGGTGTGGCAGGCAGAAATGCAAGCAGGGCAGATTTTATAGGGACTTCCGGGGCTCTATCCTGACACTCCCAACCTAGTTTCCTTCTACTTTATACAACCGCAACTTTCACTCCAGAGGACAGAGATCCTCATATTCTCAAAGAGAAAATAGACATTTTTTCCATAGAACATTGATAAAAATCAACCATATGCTTGGCTATAAAGAAGACTGGAACACATTCACAGGAAAAAACCTGTTCTCTGCTCATTGGCCAGTAACATTAGGAATAATAACAGTGAGACCCAAACCCTCAGAGCTACTTGAAATTTAACACTCTCCTAAATAATGCTATGATGAAAGAAATAAAAGCTGTACAGAAATACAACGAAAGGAGAACACCACCTACCAACATTAGTAAGACATTACAAGTTGTACGAGAAAATGGCCTCCAAAGTAAACGAAAATACATTGGAAAAAAACACCCCAAGGGAACTGCAGGAGAAAGGCTAAAAACAAGCGAACAAGACTGGGAAAGGGGGTCTGCCAAGAACAATGCCGACATGAAGGAAAAGGAACGGCAACGCTGTCACCCCGATTTCTGAGCTTGCCCACGAAGGGCCGCTATAAGAGACAAGCCGTCCACACGTCTGCAAAAGCCAAACTCCAACAGACGTGCGGGGGCGTGAGACCAGGCACAGGACTGAAGTCACCGGAAAGATGAGGAGAGAACCCCGAGATACAGCTCCATGGTGACAAGCTGAAAACACGGGAGGCAGAGGAGACGCTAACGGAACGCGAGTTACAACAGGCGACAAGAAACAGACACCCTGAGCAGCTGTGCCACTGCGGGGGCGGGGGGGGGGGGGAGGGGGGCTGGTACACCTGTCACTGAGGCGGCAGCAGGGGCCACGCAGACCCAGGCTGCCTCACCCGAGAAACATGCAATTCCCATTCTAGCTTCAAATATTTCAGGACGTAAAATCATAAAAAGACCCCAATTCACCTGATGAAATAAATTAGTGTAACTGCTAATACCCTTTAATGTCCTTATAAAGTTAATATAAAAAAGAAAAATCTAGATTGTGCTCACTTCGGCAGTACATACACTAAAAAGAAAAGATTTTTTTTGTGCTGTGGCACATCAAGCTGTAGGAAGCTGATGCGGAAAGAGACAACTGGACGGCGTCATGGAACAGAAGACCCCGAGGTGCACCACAGGAGGTAACAGATACATGACTTGGTGCACCTTGCTGACCCTGCTGTCTGCTCACCTGGAACAGGGCCAGCAACAACAGCAATGACATAACAGTGGTGACACCCAAATGCCTACCTGAGTCCTTTGTGTGAGGCCATGATCAAATTCATTATTTAATTCTCTTACCAACCCTATTAGGTGGTTGAAATTATTACGGCCATTTTACCAATGAGGAAACACAGGCCAACTGTGGAGGGACGGAGCCCAAGTCACAAGGCTAGCATGAGAGCGAGTCAAGGTGGCAACCGTGGCCACGTCCTCCAGAGCCTGCCTCTCTTGACCGCATTCGGGGGCCCACCTGTGACCTCACCTGAGGACTCTGGGTGGATTCCAGGTGGGTTAAAGGCTTACATGTAAACAGGACAGAGACAACATTGCAAGAAAATCCAGGAGACCACAAATCAAACCTAAAGGCTAGGACTACAACAATCTGTAAGTGGTGAAAACAGATAAGGTCACAGACTGTCCTGGAGAGGTCACACCAATGGCTGCTCTTGCCATCAGCGTAGGAAAGTTCCAGCGGGGCCACACTCTTGTCAACACTTGGTCTTACAGCTCTTTCCCATTTTAGCCATCCTAGTAGACACGTAATAGCACCTCACTGCACGTATCTGATGACTCCGAGGCTCAACACCTTCTCGTTTATCTCTAGACTATCTGGATATCCTCTTGGGTCATCTGCCCTTTACTTAATGATTTACTGCCAATCTTTACCCTGGCTTAGGAGACTACTGTCAAATACATTAATGCAAACACCTGGCTTGCCTTTCTACTATCTTTTGATGAAAAGAGTTCAATGTACTCTAATTTATCAAAATTGTCTTTTAGAGTTAGCACTTTTTAAGTCCTGTTTAAGGAATCTCTGCCTACCCCAAATTTATAAAGATATTCTCCTATGTTTTCTTCTATGACTTTCATCATTTGCCTTTCACATGTAGATCAATATTGCATCTGGAATGGATTTTGTTAAGTGTGTGACAGGGGTCAGAATACCCTGGTTTTTCTCTGCGAATACTCAGCGGACGCTGCAGCATTTACTGAAGAGTTCATCAATGATGCAGAACTCAGGACAGCAGCCCCTCTCGGGGTAGGGGCTAGAGACTGGGAAGGGGCAGGATTCATCTTTGTCTGCACTCAGGCCCAGCGTGAGGAGTGTCCGTGCACAGGCAGTCCCGAGATGTCACCAAAGCAGACTTACGTTGCAGCCCTTGTCCGTGAGGTAACTGATTCCTTCTTCTGGGCCAATTGCCAGTTCCACCGAAATAATCCAGCTTGACTTTTGAAGGGTGAAACAGGTAATGACAAAGGTCCCAGAAGAAAAAAGAAATATTTTAGATGAAAACATGGACACATTAAAGGACCAAGGTGGGGGTGGAGGCGGGGGGCTGGTCTAGCTTGCCATTTATCTATCCAACCAAGTACTACAAAATGTCTGTAACGTCACTGATCCAGCATCTGGTGGGTCTGAAGCTAATGGTTTCTTTGGAAAGATTATTCGAATAGGTTAAACTAGCCCACAGGGAACAGTCCATTAACAAATCACTGGGCTGGAATAAAAAATCCAATTATCAACACAGGCATGCTTTCAAAAAAAGATGAATTCATCCTCACATTAATACATTTTCTTTTTTCATTTTTCCCCACTGTAAAGTGACAAATATTTTCATGTTGTTAAAAATGCGACAAATCGGATTTCAATCAGAAATGCAGACATACATGGATAAGAAAAAGCAAAAGAAACGAAACCCAGTTCCCCATCTCCCGTGTCCCCATACTTACACCCAGAGCACACTTGAAGCATTCTTTATCAAATCTGTACACCGGGGAGAGGATCTCAAAGAACTTCAGAATACTTTCTTCTCTGTTAAGGTTGGCAAACTGTCTAAATGTCTGTTGGATCAGCTTTCTTAGTGTTTTGGCCTGCACAATAAAATCACAAAAATCACTTTACAGTCAACAACGCACAACAATAGTGAATGTCAAGGCTATCTTTCCCTCCCACCACCCGCTCCAACCTATATTCACATCACTATGAAATGCCATTATTTGTCAAAGCCTATTTCCTTTTTTAAGTAGCTGTAATAAAATGCACACAGTATAAGATATAGCATCCTAGCCCTTTTTAAGCACACAGTTCAGTGATTCCAAGCTTTACTTCTTAAATAGAAATTTATAAGGCAATAATTTGCTTATTAGAACATGTGGTAAAAAGTTAGGCATTAAAAAACACGTACTATCTTAAAAAATTAAACATAAAAAATAAAATAAAAAACACGTACTACCTATGCACACAACGGGGAGCTGGCAAAAGCTTAGATAGGAAGGCACTCACATATCCCACTGTTAGGAGGGTAAGTTGATACAACCTTTTTGAAGGGCAATTTGGCAGCACGGATAAAAATACCTTAAAAAACCTACAAATCTGGATCCAGAAATTAAATTCCAAGGCACTAGTCTTTAGAAATGATTAAAGAACTCCACAAGGACTCAGCCACGAGGAGGTTCAGTGCAGAACTATTTACAGGAGCAGTTGGGTTATATGCATCATAATATGTCTGCCTATGTTGTATAAGCCCTCAAGACCGTCGTGTGGAACGAATTCACTGATGTGAAAATCCCTATCGTGGTGTCAGGTGAGAGAATCTGGTGAAACAATCTTGTATGTGCAATACAGATGCCTTTAAAAGGAGGGCACCGTTGATGGGACTCACACAGGCACGTGTGGGCACAGGTGCCCACACGTATCCACACAGAGAAGGCGATGGCACAACTATACCCCTTTCCTGTGTAGTGGGATCATAGGTGATCTTCCAGACCATTTTTGCACATTTGAGCATTCTATTTATGCACCACAAGCATCTGGACGGTGGAGGGAAGGGCCCTCCAGGCGGCAAGCCCATAGCCCATGGTTCATCAGCAGCAGCCTGGGGAGGCCCATGGGGAAAGGATGCGGGATGAGGTGTGAGGAAGAAGGCTGGGGGGAGGAGCCAGCCACAGGAAGCACCCAGCTTCCATCCTGGAAAGAGACAAAGTCCTTGGGCACCTTGGGGAGAGTGACGTAATCTGACACGTTGGCTGCCGTGCTGTGAACGGTATGAAGGCAGTAGGAGAGACCAAGAAGGAGGGTACGGAAGTAACCTAGGCAAGAGGTGAGCAGGGTCTACGCAAGCATAGAAGCAGAAAGAGGTGAGAAGCAGATTTATTCTGAAAAACAGAACCAACGAGATGTACTGAGAGGCAGGAGTTACCACGAACTGAAACGGTAGGCCTGTGGGGAAGCAGGTTGGCAGGTGAAGGTCTTGCAGGAGACCCGGGGCCCAGCTGGGAGCTCAGCGTGAGGTGCACTCAGACAGGAATCAGAGCCAGCAGACCGGAAAAGACTGGGGGTGGCAGAGGGAGAGGAGGTGAAGGGCCTCATCCTCCAGAGCATGCCCATCTTAGCAGGTCAGGGAGATGTGGCTGCTCAGGCAGCTAGGGGGTGGCCCACCAGGGAGGGGCACACAGAGGTGACAGCCCACTGCAGTGGCTTGAAGGCCCCCGTGTGGTCAAGGGTTTACTGGATCTGGGACACTGCAGAGAGTGAGCTGACAGCTAGGCCCTGTGGTCAAAGAGTGGGACAGAGTCCCAGCGGCCTGCAGTTACTGGGGATGAAGCAGACAGTGCGAGAGGCCGGGTAGGCCGAGGACAGGGTTCAAGGAGCCGAGGGAACAGGTGTTGCAACGTGGCCTTCATTTTAAAGGCTTGCACTGCTCTTGTACAGAGGGCGTGGAGGAGGGTGTGAGAAGCAAAAAGACCAGCCACGTTCCTGGAATAGACCACCCAAGAAACACGAGTGGCACAGACCCCGAGCTGGTGGTGAAGCAGAGAGCCAGGCACCTTTGGGCCACTCGGGTGACTGTATGCGGGATGGCAGGAAAACAGGCACCTGGGCAGGATGAAGGAGGAGGTTTCTGGATGGAGTGGAGGGGCAAACAGAAGGGGCAGCTTGGTAAAGATAAAGTCACACTGACTCTGGACGTGGGCGTGACTCTTACATCTGGACCTGAACCATCAGGCAGACAGCTGCATACAGAGCTGGAGCTCAGAAGAGGGCAGGGCTGGGGACAGCACTGTCAGAGTCCACCAGCTGACGGATTCACAGATGGCTCCCACCAACCAAGTGGAGGCGGGAAAGAAGAGAAGGCTGCAGCCAGGTCAGCGGGCCAAGAGCTGGTTTTAACCAGGGCCGGGGCTCTGACGGGTGAGTAATACAGTGGAACTGCAGGTATTCTGATGAGGATTAATGGCAGTTGTAGACCACAGTCTAAACTGAAGAGAAGTAAAACGGGCTCAAGGTTAGCAAGGCTTCACTAGCAGAGAATATGAACAATTAGCTTTGGATGCTCACTAAAGAAAAGTCTGGGAAACATATTTTAGGGACTGCCCATCTAAGCACTGGCCATGAGCCAAGGGACTGAAAAGGCCACTCTTGTCATGGGCTGAGATGGCACGTAATAGTTGTTCTGACTTCAGGCTTTGCAAATACTCTTGTGGCCTATTAGGTCCGGCTGTCCGCCAGGAGCGTGTAGACTGGCCACGAAGACCTGAGTAAGAGCACAACTCCAACCTAACAACGCTGAAATAGACAAAATGGAAATAAAATCTGATCTGTCCTGTAACCGAGGACACTTCACTCCCTAGCATGTAAGCGGGAAGACAGCTCTGACTTCTGTGATTTCAACGGCCTGAGGCAGGGCGTACTGCCGCCGGGTGCTCACGTGCCCATCGAAGGAGAAAACCAGTGCACACAAAGCCCCAGAATGCCCTCCTACTCTTCCTACAAGTGCAGGACACCGTAAACTAGAATATGGCAGCAGCTACAAAGGATGGTTGTCTAAGGAGCATGGGGACTAGAACACAGTGACACATCATTTTTATTAACGTTAATTAAAAGTTGATATAGTCACTCAGGCCTCTAAGAGGAATACTTCCACTCAGAGCCGATGAGTAATGACATGCGGTGATTAAAACCATGTCAAAGAGGTCCAGAAAAGCAGCCAATTCTCTGCCTTGTAGCCAACTCCCAACAAGCCACTTGTTTAGAAACAACTGACAATACTCTACACTTACACCTGCTCATCTGTGCAATGCTTTAAAAAATGTGTCACCCAAAGAGGTTTCTCTCTGAAGTGGTGAGACAGAAGTCTCTCTTTAAAGCCGAGCAGCTCGGACGCCTGGGTGGCTCAGTTGGTTAAGCGATTGCCTTCGGCTCAGGTCATGATCCTGGAGTCCCGGGATCGAGTCCCACATCGGGCTCCCTGCTCAGCAGGGAGTCTGCTTCTCCCTCTGACCCTTCTCCCTCTCGTGCTCTCTCTCATTCTCTCTCTTGCAAAAAAATAAATAAATAAAGCTGAGCAGCTTAAGTCTGATCTTGAGCATCAGACTTACACACATCCACACGCCCACCTGAGACTTCCACTGGACTTCCCCCATATCCGAAAGCTGACAGGCCACAAAGAGAACTCCTTGATTGCCCTCCAGGCTCAGCACCCCCATCTCGGCCGATCTCCCAGGTGCTTAAGGTAGAAACCCAGGTGGCAGCCCCAACCCCTCTTTCCCCTAACCCCTTAAGCCTCAAACCCCCAAGTCCTACAAGTGCTTTCAAGTGCTGTCACAAAAAGCACATGGTGTTCTTGAATGCTTTCCGCCATGCCAGCTCCACCTTTGCCTGAACCTCTGCGACAGCCCCCCAGGGGTACCATCACACGTCGCCAGGTGCTCTTTTTAAAACATGACCTGGATCACCTCACTCTGCAGCTTCAACCCTTAGGAACTTAGGAAACTGAATCATCTAACTATGCAAGTACTGAGCATGAGATGCCTCAAGGCCAACGGGGTCAGGGGGAAGAGCGTGGTGGGTGAACAGGTTCAGCCTGAGAGTGGCAGCCAAGTCAGGGGCCGTGTCATCACGGGCCACTTAGGGAGGCTCAGGGAGGGCACAGCTGCTTTCTCGTCTCCAGCCTCCCTCTATCTCTGCAGCACCCTCAGAGAGAAGTTCTTCTATCACACCCATCTTACAAATGAGGAAACAGAGGCACAGAGAGAACAAAGACCCCAAATCTCGGAGCTGCATGGCAGAGCCAGGACCGAAGCCCGAGCAGCCTGGTGCCAGTGTCTGCAGTCCCGATGAGAGCATCGCTCCCCCTCCCGGAGGCCGTCAGCTCGGGGGCTGAAGCTAGCCGAGTGACCAGGGCCTCGGGGGTGCAGGCACGAGGACAGGGCTCCCAATGGACCCTGCGGCTACCCCGGCATTTCAACAAGCCCTGGTTAGGGCAGGAGCCTGGCCAGCAGAAGGCATGCAGCACACACTGGGTGCCTAACAAGTATCTTAAAGGAATGGGCAGGTTCAAGAACAAAGAAAGGACACTGTCCCATCCCACTATCCTCTACCTTCTGTGCAGCACCGAAAATTGCAGCCAAAAGTTTTGGTAGAAGAGAGCTGGTGAACTTACGAGGGAGGGAACAAGTGTGCTCAGGAGCCTCACATGGGGTTGGTTCTTTATTACAGCAAATTCAATGACGTTGCTGTGCAGACCTCCTGCTTTCCAGTCTTTTTTTTTTTTTTTTAACATTACAAAGCTGGTTGTAAAAAAAGAACTCACATGTAACAGGTAAATGCATGTATGTGAAAATACAACGTAGCACCTCCGAGTCCCTGTGGATCCTGTCCCACTGACCCCGTGACAGGACTGCTCCCCACCGTGCTTCCCCTGCAGTGTTCTGTCCCTCCACCCACCGCCAGCAGGAGGACCGCTTGGGGCGTGAGGCGGAAATGCGAGGCCAGGCCCTGCTCCTCCGCCCTCCTCCCGCATCAGCCCCATGCCCTCAGGGCTCTGCCCTCAGTGCTCTCTGTGGGCAAGACTCTGCCTTCTGACCTTTCC